CGCTTGTATGAAATTTCAATACCACAGCTCTTATAGTTTCTAAGATATACACAAATAAATTTTGAAGTTGTACGGCAGCTACCCGAACCGGTAGCCCAATCATATCCAATTTGAATAGGGTTTTGACAATTACTATAATAAATCATTTGTGAAAATTTGGTGAACTGAGCTCAATTAGTTTTTGAGTTGTCGTTGGTACGGACGGACGGACAGACAAATTTAAATCGATCTATATCTCAGATCATTATTTCTTAATGTTACTAGCGATAAGGCAAATTTAGTATACCCTTCGAACATACGTTCGTACAGGTATAATAATAATTTAAATCTCGTTGGCCATAATAGAAAACCATTGGTTACAACAGTTTCTACTAACTTAAATTTCTTTCTATATTAACTAATTTCAAAGTTGTATTGAATTTAGAAACTAATTCAGAGATATTTTATATTTTGTAGATAAAGTCACAGTTGACATTTTACTTCAAGTATACTATAGAAAATGTGAATGGTATGTATGGTATGAAGTGAAATGTAAACACATGAATAAAATCGGTTATTGCATGCATTCAGAGTTAATTTTCAAATCTGCTGGTATAGTACAACTTTTAAGTCAAAATATCGAAAAGTGGTAAAGAATACTACCCCCTGCCTTTAAGAAAGAGCATTCAAACAACGATTAAAATAATAATTGAAATTAAATGCGAGACAAAAAAATATCAGTCAAGTAGCATACAAAATGGCAATTAAGTGAAATATCGTACAAATTTAAAAATGTGAAATTCGAAGACGAATTCATTTTGAAAATATCATTAAAATAATAACCAAAATAATAAGCTTCACGATAGTTTCATTTTGTATTTGTACCTAGATGAATTTGTTGATATTCAAAATTATGTTAATTTCCTCAATATCTCATACTCATCAATTTACCATTCTCTTATCGGAATTTAAAATAATTCATATATGATGATTAACAACATTTCGGATTTTAGAAAAGAAACCTATTCTATTTTTAAATTAATTAAAATATTTTAAATAATAAAAGGTTTTTTTGGGTAATAATAAATTGTAATATAGCCAAGTTTCAAATTTAATTAAATATGAAAAGCAATAAAAACAGTCTATGATAATTAAATGTTTTCAAGTTAATTTCTCATTCTCAAGGATTTTCATTTTACCTGAAGTGGAAAATTATTATTATTTTATATATGTAAGAAAATTTCTATTAATATTTATGTATGTATGTATGTAGTTATATGTGATTTTTATGGTAAAATCAAAACATGAAACGAATCCTTATGAAATTTTATTTAAAAACAAAAGAAATAATATAAATGTGTGTAAATAAAAAAATATTTACAATAAAAAAAATTAAAATAATTTTTCAAATAATTTATTTTGCGCTTTTTTTTACAATTTTTATTAATTAACAATTTTGCATACCTAATACAACGAATTATATTTACCAAAACAAAAACTTATTGCAAAGTCTTTATTAACTTTTGGGTACATGAAATGAAGTCATTAATAATTCAAAGAGGTTGAGTTTTTAAATTAAATTTATTTTGTAACTTAATTATAATCACGAAATTAATTATGATGATTTTCGTATATTATGTATAATTTATACAAATAAAAATACTAAAATGAAAACTGAAATAAAAAAAATTAATCCTTACGTGTTTGAATACAAAAATTTCAACAACTTATATTTTAATTATTAAAATCATTAACTTTGATTAGAATAGAAGTACTCTAAGTCATATTTTGAGAGTTTTAAAGGAGAGCGATAAAATGATATAAGAGAGTAAATTTCATGCTTATATTCGGAACTATTCTAAATTCCAATAGAATAGACCAGTCGTCGGCGAAGTGAGGCCCATGGACAACATGCGGCCCATCATTCTGCTTGCAAAAAAAAATATTCGATTGAGATTATTGAAATTTGAATAATAGATAATATCAATAGAAGCATATAAAATTCCATACAAATTTATTATTCTTGGTAGATAATGTAAAAAAATCGAGTGGCACATAACCTTTACTCACATAGTAAATATTTGTCTATAACCAACACAAGTTCGCCGACTGTTGAAATAGGCAGATATAACTTATTTCTGCAAGCTCTAAAAAACATGTTTTGGAAATTAATTTTACGTACTAGAACTCTTAAAGAGCATATATTGTCACAGCAACTGCAAACAAAGGACTAATGAACGAATGAAAAAACCCATTTTGCAGAAACATATAGGCTTAGAATTGTTCTGATCTAACATGATGAAATGATTGTTGTTCATGTTTATTTTGATAAAATAAAATGTTAAAAATGTAAATAAAATGTTAAACTTTAGATGATAGGTGTTGCCGCTGCAACAGAATTTTTATCATCTTTTTTGTCAAATATGACGGTTTGAAGAACATTTACACTCTTTTATTCTTTGTAGAATAAAAGAGTGTAAATTTTAAAATTTTCAATTAATTTTCAGCCAGTTAAAATAAGATAATAATATTTCTTATTAAATTATTTTATAAGAGACTCGACTCGTATAACTAAAAAACTAAGTGGGCTTCCTAATGTGTTGAATGAGTCGGCAATTTTCGGTCGAGGAGCCTCCAAGAACCCTCTAATCATAGTTTCTTCTAACATCTTTATCATTTAAGTTTCTTGGATTGAACTATTCCTCGATACGAACAAATTTAATCATATTCTTATACCCTTTAACATTTCAAGCCTTTTAAAAAATTATCTATACTTTCCTCCTTTGTCATAAAGCTTATATAGATTCATTTTATTCGGTAACATCAATTACATAAAAAATGAAATTCTTTATAAATTTTTTCAACAACTAGAAAATGGAAAAAATTATTTAGATCACATCTTTTATGATCTGTACATGTTTAAACAAATTTTCAAGATAACAACGTCTACACAATTTGTGCCTGTTGCCTTCGGACACATTTTTTTCTGTTTTTTTTTTATATATTTTGCATGTTTAACTTGAGTTTTTTTTTTATAGTAAATAATGTACGAGTATGTGACTTCACTATTTTATTTTCTACCCAAAAAATTTTTAGTTTTCAATTCCATTTTTTTTCTGTATTTCTTTTGTTTTCTTATAAAAATACAAACTCATTTGAATTTCTCTTACTCTTACTTACAATATCCTTTGACATCAAATGCTCTACATCAATTGAAAAAATTAGTAACACTGCTTAGTTTTCACTACTTTGGTAAAATAATTTTTGTAAAAATGAAAGGTGCTAATAAAATTAAAAGTATTCTTTTAATTTAATCCTAAAAAAATGGTCAAACTAGTCTACTATATAGACTTGCACGAATTTTTTTTACCCAACATATTAGATTACAAAACTCTCTGTAATTTAATTCAACTTTTTTTTCACTTACTGCTACGGTCGGTGAGAGGAGAAAGTAGCGATCGTTCTTATATATATACAAATGCAAATAATTGTAATTAAGTGTAAGTCTTCTCCGTTATTTTAACTCTTAAATAAATAACAAATGGCAATAGTCATTTGTTACGAAGTCGTTTTATCAAATCCCGAGTAACCTGTCAGGTTCTTTTTCTGTCACATGAGTCCAAATATATTCACTCTTTTCAGATCAAATCTGTTTAATGTCGAAACAGAAACAGTATCTTGTGCCACATTTTGGATAAGGTTTTAAAATTGCTTTGCTACTCTTTAGATTTTTTACTATAGTTCTTTTAAATAAGTACTTTTCAATGTCTTTTTTGAGAAGTGTTTGAAATTTTGAAAAAAATGACTTATGTTGAAAAAGTCTTGAAAATTTGTTTAAAGAAAAATTTGCCCAGCAAAAGGATTTACGAGTACCTAGTTTCAAATATTTTTATAAAAAGCTCAGTTCATTTCATCAGATCAGCGCATGTTACACGTTTTCTTATTTAAATGTTTTATAAGTTGTTTTAAAAGTAAGTCGAAAATTGAAACCAAATTTTCCAATTTCTTTATTAATTTATTCTTTTTTCTTACCTCTATATATGCATATAGGAAAGAAAAGGAATTTATTTTCTTACAAACGTGTTTTACAGCTTTGTATCTGAAGAAATTCGATTATTTCCCTATTTACATATGCATTATCTAAATAAATATTTAAAAACTCATTTCTATAGTTAAATTTTACTAGATAAACTCTCATTACGTATACCCGTACATGAAACTAAATATAAGGAATTGCATGTTAGAGTTTAGCTAATATTGAATATGGTACGTACACTCTAACGCTGAAATTGTTTTTTGAATAATTTCTTAGGTTTTTATTTGAATTGTTGTATAAAATTCTAGGCAAATTTTATATTACCTAAATAAATGGTAAAATTCCTTACAACTCCATTTGCAATTGGTATGAAAATATTGTAACCAAATTGTGCAGTAAATGAAATCGTAATCAAATACAGGCTAATACAGGAATCAATTTAACTTGCACCCTCAATATAATCCTCATTTATACTTTAAACAATTTAATTATTGCAGTCTGCTATCAAGAATATTTCAGCATTTCTAATGAACACTTTACTTGTAATTCAAAAATGCTCTTACATTAAAAACCATATACTAAAATTGTATATTTGTTAAGGAGAACTGCTGCACTTTATTTATAAACTTTAATCCGTGAATATATAAAAAAAAATTTGAAATTATTGGAAATTCCGTAAACTATTTTTCCTGTACCTTTCTAGCAAAATACAAAGGCGTTCAACATATATTTACAATAAGAAATTATGACCTTTTGAAACTAGATTAACATTCTGGGACAAGAGTAACATACTAAATAAACTTACTATACATATATGCTCTTATTCATTCACTAAACAAAAAAAAAATTCAATCTTTCAATTTACTGTAATAGAAGGTTTTTATATAAAATTTATTGAAATGCAAATATACGAAAGAATAGTTTTGTAGCTTCTACACAAAACAAAAAAAAAAGATTTATTTCTTTTTTAATTTATTTATTAAAGACCATTGACATCAAAATATGATAAGAGAGAATCATGTGCATCAGTGACTACAACAACATTAATTGGTACATCAACAATTCATCAACGAGGATCCAATGGAGCGCTTCAAAATATTTCTATATCAAGAGCTGTCAGTCCCAGTAATCCAAAACAGGTAATTTTATTTTGTAATTGTACGTGCTTCCAATGTTTTATGTTATTAAATTATCCTACCGTATTACATACAGAGTGCGAATGATTTAAAGTATCTTAATTAAATACTTTAGCATCGGGAAAATATTTTTAAAAATTAATTTAAAACTAATTTAAAAACATTTTGCCTGATATAAGTAAGAATTCTGATAAGTATAATAAAAATTTCGTTCGAAATATTAATTGTTTATAATTGTTGTTAGATTGAACGAAAATGACCATTTCATATTATGCATTCACGAAATTTCAAAAAAATAATTTAAAAGTTTGAAGGTCAGAAATCTACTGTGCTGCACTGTTCTTGTAGTATTCTAAATATCAAAATTTTTTGCAAACAAGTTAATAATTCGAAATAGTTCCTTACCATAACCTTAGTAATGTTTAATTTTCGTAAAATGACATCAACTGGAAAAGTTGCTGGAACTCTTCCACTCATAGTACACAAGCCTATGAATTAATTTATCAAATTAAATTACTCAGAAAAAAATTAAAATCATTAATGTAAAACTTAAAGACAAAAAAAAATTTTTAAAATTCCAGCTGGACCCACCATATTTCAGTTCGAACTCATCAAATATAAATGATCTATTTTATTTTGCTAAAAAACACATTTACACTCTGTATAAAAAATATTTTTAAAATTTTAAAATAATATTATTTTTAATAATAAAATGTCAACCTAAAACAATTACAGGAGACACAAAGGATTCAATTTAAAGTTTAAAGAAATAACTTTAGCCTTGGGAGGATAACAAAATACGTTGAGGTTTTTTTTTTATATACCAACATAGAAAAATTCGAAATTGATTATTCAATTGTGTAAACTATCGTATATATAGATTTTTAAAATAGTTTTATTCTTATTTAATTTAATAAAATATTTTGTACATATGCACACAAATTCAATAAAATTGCAAAAAAAAAAAATTCAATTTTAACAATTTTAAGAAGAATGCATATACAATAGCTATTACATACATATATATGTACATATATAATAATAATATGTGAAATACATTTCAAGAAAATTTTAACATTATATATCGTACCTACATATGTATGGATATATAAGCATATAAATTTTTGTATTAGGAAGGATTGTAAATAGCTACACACACATAAATATATAATGTAAAATATAAAATTTAATATGAAAATAATTAATGTAACTTTTTTTTATAAATGGTAAAATTTCTGTTTTATATATCTATATATTATATGTTTATATATACATATATATATATGTATATGTAAATTAATAAAAGATTTATATTTATTTTTGAAAACTTACATAAATTAATTGATTTTATTTTCTACTCAATTAATTTTCCAATATTAAATTATTTCATTATTTTACAGGCATGAAATTGTTTTTATAAACCCATACGAACGTATGGGTTTTTATTCGATAAGTTTTATAAATTTTTGCAATTCATTTGTAAGGCTAAGAAATGACAGTTTAAAATAAATATTTTTGATTAGCGTCGAATTTTGACTTGATTCAAACATATTTATTCGTCTGCCTTTCCCAGTCAGAGTTCAAAAATTCATGGGTTAAAAATTTACTAAATTTTCACAAATGCTTTATTAAAGTAAATTCCAGAGTCATATTTAAATTGGATTTCCTCGAAGAAAGATTCAAGTATGTGCTGCCACATAACTTCAAAAGTTGTTTGGTTAAAAGTTTGTTTATCTCATATAAACAAATATAGTATCAGGGCTGTTTGATAATATTGGGTGACTTCCTATCATTGCTGCCGTACAACTTTAAAAATTATTTATCCATATCTTATAGATATTTGACCTAAAAGACTAAAATTTAGCACAAAAGAATATGTTAATATAGTCATTATTTGCCAGTCATATACATTTCGGAAATTATGCAACCATACTAAAAAAATATTCAAGCTACATGCTTGAAATTGAATAAAATATTAGAATAATATATTAATAAAATTCACTATTAAAAAAAGCATAACTAGCTTCTTGGGGGAATACCATACAATTCTTCAAATCATTAATTCTAACAGGTATTTCACAGAATTGGCACGATCAACTCTATAACTGGATTTTCAATAATTATGAATTCTATAGAATTTTGTTTAATAAATTTGGTTCAAATCATTGGTTTGCAAAAAAGTACATTTTCCAAGAACAATTAAAAGTATACAAAAATAATATTGTTTTCTATAATTGAACTTCAATTAAATGACATATTTCGATAATAAAGAAAATTTCAGTTAAAACCCAAGTTTATATTTTATAATAAAACCCTTAGAGGTCCAAACAAAATCATTATTCTTTGTAATTCCAAAGAATCTATTTCTAGTTACGTTTCGTATATAATTTTTTCACAGATCTTAATATACAATCGAAGCATAAAAAAAGCCTCAATTTGAAAAAATGTGAATATTATAACAATTTCGAAATCACAATTTCAATTGTATACTTTCAAAAGTTGGTACGAAATTTAAAACCCACCTTAAAATAATGAAAAAATTATATTCGGTTGTGTGCAATTATAAGCTAATAATGAGAGGCTCAGGAGCAAAGTGACCTAACCCTCTCTCCCAATTTTTACTACAATATGTGAGTTATGCCACTTTAGCACTGGAAAAAATTAAATTTTGGGTTTAGGCCAAAAAAAAAACAGAATGTTTGACTTTTTATTACATTTGGGACCTAATTTACTTTTCTAACAAAAAAGCGAAAATTTTAGAAATGAGGTTTAGGCCACTTTCAAAACTTAAGTTTGATTCCCGACCAAAACAAAAATAAAAAACAGTATTGAGTTAAGTTGGATAAAGTCATAAAGTTGGATAAATTTCACATAAGACCAAGAAGTAATTTTTAATTCACAAAATTAAAGATAAATTATGTAAGTGTCTGGAAAATTAAATCTGAGGCAATTAAATAAAACTTTTTTAAAAGTATGTAGAAAGATTTCCGTTCAAGTCAATATTAAACATTATTCAATTTTAATTCATCAGAGAAGAGTGTGGGGTGGGAGGGGGGGGGGGGGAATGGGGTAGGGAATCCTATAATTCGAACAACAATACATACACATGTACATAATTATGTATGTACATACATAGCCATAAAAACAGAAAATTTCAAATATCTTTTTTATTGAATGAAAACTGTTGAATTTTTCGACGTTCTTACAAAACTAGACAGTAAAATTTTTTTAATTAATTTGCATTTCTTTTATAGAATATTTTCATATACTAAAAGACGATCCTTATAATATTTACAAAAGGATAAGTTCTCGATTTTTCATTAAATATGAAAATTTCAAAAATTAATTATTTTAAAAAAATTTTGATGATTTAACAAAAACTTTTTGACAAAAAAAAAGTCAATAAATTGCTTTTCAGTAAAACAAAAAATATTTACTATGGCTGTAAATGTGAAATTTATTCAAATCGTTGTTAAAATAGAAAATGGAATTTTTTGTTGACATTCGAGAATTTGAAAGTGTTGACACTTAAGTTATTCTATCCTTTTATCCATTTGAAATAAAAGAAATCAAAATTGCAATAAAGTACGATAAATTAAAAATAATATTGATTTACTGGACTGCACACTTGAAATTCTTTATTTCTGTATTTTAACAACAGTGAACATTTATAAGGTCACTGTTAATAAATATTGAACCTGAAATAAATTTTGAAAGGAATTCATAATTAAAGAAAAATGCAGATTCAGACTTCAGATCATTTAAATTATCAGACAGTAGGTTCCAAAAAATTTAAAATAGCGGTTAAGCAGGTGAGGTCAGAACTCCGGAAAACCACCACTAAACTAAGAACCATCTAGGTGATTATAAACTACAAGAGAATGGTATAAGAACAGGACAAAAATTTATACCAGCATAGGAGAGATAGTGTCGACTGAAGAAACACCTAATTAAATCGAAGAGCAAATTCATTGGCAGGAATTTATTACTGAAATCGATCTTGGGAGCTCTAGTCCTGGTTAGGCGCAATAAATCCTCTTGAGTGACGGTGCAATGTCAGTCCAAACTTGTATCTAATTTCTTTAATTCATAAAACTTTTTTAGATTATACACAAACTACTGCTGTTTGCATTCATGCGAAATTCATTCAAACAACAATTTGTTTTAATATGAAAAAAATTATTCAATAATTTCAAAAACTCTACAAGAACCTTCTCATACTTAATTGATATAGATAAATTAAAGTTATTAAAGCAAACTTATTAAAAGAATTTTTTCACATCAATTCACCAGAAAAACATTGAACATTTAAAATCAAAGATTATTAGAATTACACCATTCAATAATATCAAAAAATAATTTTATTTCTACATAAACAACGACTTTAATTCTCAGTTTCGATAATACTGTTAAAGAACTTTTGGAAAAGTTTCAATTTCGATAACATCAATTGAAATTCCAAGTTCGCACCTAATAATCAATTTAATTAAAAAAAAATTTAACTTTTATTATTAATTTCATACAGCTAGCAATGAGATATAAAAAAAAAAGTTAAAATGTTCAAGACGCAAAACAAAAACAAAAATTAAAGCAAAAATGAAAATTTTCGAAACAAACAGTCTTTATAATCTAGATTATTATATTTTCAAGTTTATGGTTAAGTTTTATTGAAAAACTTTTTTTCCTACACCCAGACACACTCTTGAACCTCTGACAACAACAAAACAAAAATCAATTGCTAAGGATACTGTATATACCGCATTATAGAGAATAACAAAGTTCCATTAAAAAACGTTTTATAGATTATATGTAGACATCAAAGTGACTGTATATATACCTTTGGTCGTAAATTTATAGGTTATACAACATTTATGTTGAATAGATTAAAAGAGAATATAAAATCCTAAAGATAAAATTTTTTATATAATATACACGAATAACATTATAATAGCTATATACACATAGGCTTCACTGTATATTCCATAGTGTACAATTAAATTCAAAGAACGTTAAAAGAGATATTTGGCGCCATTTCTTTCATATTAAAACGGATTAGCATAATTAGCGAGAATATCAAAAGAACAAAAATTTATTAGAATGGTAGTAGGTACTTCACAAAAGGATCCTTGAAATCTTATCCAAGAGATACTTCAAAACTATTATCGTCTTGGATTTGACCATTCGGTATTTTATTTTATTAAATTTTTCATGAAATTAATATTTTCTCCTGCATAATCTATAAATTTCAAACGTAATCATGTTTTTAATAATATGCTCATAAATTAATATTATTGGGTGGTAGGTAGTAAGATTCAAAAATATAAATAAAAATTGAAATTGATTTATGAAAACCTTTAATTACTTAAGAAAAATAAACTAACCTTGTTGTATAGGCGATGGTGTAGGCGTTCGCGTAAATTCGAGGATTTTGGGATATTTCTTAGCAAATAATTAAAAAAAAATAAAAAGTTTGAATTCAGAAAAGAAATATTGTATTTTATTAAGCATAAATTGGGAAAAGTGTTTTTAAGTCTATACAAAAATCCATGAATGAAGCTTTAAAAGCTTTACGGTCCAACTGTAACAGATGAGTTGCCCGAAATTCGCTAATATAACGCCTTCATACAACCTTAGAAAAACTGAATGGCGAAGATAAAAAAAATTACTTTGAAGATATTGAAAAAATGTATTCTCAAAATAGAACTTTAGGGCAGAGATTTCGCGTAATTACTGAACCAACTAAACCATGACGAAGGTATAAAGAAATTATTTTCAATTTACTCCCTATGTTACATTATACTCGTATAAAGATTTAGTTTGTGAAGTAGCACTTTTTTGTATGACAAGTGCAAATACTGCTTTTGAATACAATTAATTTTGACTGCTTTTAAAACATTACGTATTAAAATTACTTTCATTTACATACCAAAATATTTTAAAGATAGAATAAATTTAGGATGAGTAATATATGCA